GGCTGAGCATCAGAAAATAGCGCACAGGAGGGCCACGCACATGCTCAGAATGGAGTCGCAGCACCAGGCGATACCATCATAAGTTGTTACTTATTAGCTGCTACTTGTCTGAGCTTTCACATGGGCAGTCAGTGCGCTGTCAAGGATAAATATATATTTGCTTGGATTGGCTGTGAGTGTTCTTTTCTAAAGTAAAACCTTACTATTTAGCTTTTATTGTAGTGTTGATTCTTTGTGATAAATAATTGGGTTTTGGGTTGCAGGTTGGGCACTGTGTCTGAAAGGTTCACCATCACTGGCCTAGGAAATGCTGGCAAGTTGTTTTTCAAAGGTTGCACCCTTGTCCTCTTTTTTACTGGGTGGTTTGTAATAGATGGCAATAACTACGTTTTTCTTATTTTTTTCTCCCTTTAAATTAAGCCAGGTACCTTTAATCTGGCTACTAAATTCCCCTTGTATTTCAGTGCAAATATTTCCATATTGGGCAATTCCCTTTTTGTCCTTTCTATTTTTCTTGAACAGGTTGTATCCATCAATAGTCATGTGAGTCACCCCACCATGTTTCAGTTATTCCTATAAGATCGTAATTGCCCTCATGTACTTTGAGCTCAAGTTTGTGCTGTTTTTTCCCCATATTCTAGACATTGGTGCAGAGACATCATTCTAGCTTTGCCTTAGTTTTCTTCCTCTGTGTTTTGGGGGACTGGTGCTGGGCCCTGCTTGAGGTTTTTTCCCTGATGAAATATATAAGTCTTTGCCAGGGGATGGTATGCCATGCTGCACATCTCCCTCCCCTGTATATTTTAGTTTAAAGCCCTCCTGATGAAGTTTTTCATGTAGTGGCCAAACACCTGCTTCCTGTTCTTTGTGAGGTGCAGCCCATCATTAGCCAACAGTCCCTCTTCCAGAAACTTTAGCTTGTGGTCTCAGAGTCCAAATCTCCTTTTACAGCACCACCATCGTAGCCCGTCATACACTTGAAGGATTTTTCTTTCCCTAAAAGTTCCTCTTCATGTACTGGTAGGACTGAGGAGAAGATTATTTTCTTTCTGTATAGGAAAAATTCAAAGAGAAAGTGCCTGAACAGATACACATTGAGCATAGTTTCTTCACTCACCAGAAGTAGAATGGGATAACTGTGCTAGGAGAAATATTTTGATCCTCTGGAGATGAGAGGTGTGTTTGATCTCAGTGCTTTCCACTGGAGAGGTTTGTGCACTCCTCTGTGGGGGCTGGCCCTTGAGACCTGCTAGGAGATGTCCTGGGAGAATCTCTGGTTGAGATGCTAAAAGCTGTTCCTCTAGCTCGCCCAAGGCTTTTATTTCTAAAAGTTGGAGACCACAACTGTTCTCTTATTGCTTCCATTTTGTGCTGCCCCTTTCCACCTCCCTTGCTATGTAATCAGAAGTGCACTTACACAGAGCAGCCTGAAATTCTTGTCTGGCCACCTCACCCTCTTCTTCAGCCAGCCTGCCTTCTGACCACTGGCCATTTTTCTACTTGCAGGAAATGGGAAACTCAAAAATGCTATTCCTTGCCTACAGCCAATTCTGGATCTGAGCACCATGTTCTGCTGGATCTGTAGAGTGGCCTCCTATGCAATGCAAAAAAGAGAGAATGCACTACCAAAATAAATATATAAATGCATAACATTTGACTATATAGAGTAATTGTAGAAATATATCTTCCCATGGTGTAGAGGACTGACTGAGTAACCTAGAAAGTTGTAGGCTCTCTCACACTAGAAACATTCAGAAAGAAACTGGACAGCCATCTGAATGGTATGGTGTAACTTGGTGTCCTGCGACAGCAGGGGGTTGGACCTGATGGCCTTCCTGGCCCCTTCCAACTCTACTATTCTATGATTAATTAAACCATGTTCATGCTTTGGCCAACCAGCTATCTACTGGAAACCTGCAACAGAACACTTCTGCTCATGTTACCCAGTATTTAGTGCACACATTCACACTGCCTCTGATACCAGAAATAGCTTGTTGCCATTAGGACTAGTAGCCATTGATAGCTTTCTACTTCAGGAATTTGTTCAATTCCCTTTTAAATATGTCCAGACTGGTGGCCATTGGTACATCAAGTGCTTAAGTATGAAGCTTATCTGCCTGGATCTCCCACCTCTCAGCCTCATGGATGACCCCAGAGTCTAATATCTAAATCTTCTCTTTTTCCACAACAGGCATGGTTCTGTCCTATCCTACCATGTCTTCCTTTACTCACCAGTGTTCTCCCAAATTAAACAGTCTCAGCTGTTTTTACCTTTCCTTGTAAGGGGTTTGCTCCAGTCCTTTGGTAGTTAGAAAAGGATTTTCCTGACATCCTTAATTATTGTCAATGACTATGAGTATTCCCTCCCCCCCACTGCCTTGTGTTCCTTATGGATGCCAAGTTTTGCGAAGGAAGTGCTTTGTCTTTCAATTAAAAATATCCAAACAACCTCACAGAGTCATGAGGGGCCAAACCAAAACAAGTCCTCAGCTGTGAATAAATGGAGGTTGGCTGATCCCAATTTGTAGGGAGGAAGAGGAAGCGCCCTGCTTTGGCCTCCTGACCTCTGGCATCACCAGTGGTGAACCAGGACAAAGGGGACTTGGCTGCAGATGCTGCTTGGGGTGCTTCACGTAGGGCAGAGTGTAAACTCATCCATTTATGAGCAACCTATGGAGCTCCCACCAAGTCAGCATGCAAAACTTTGGTGAGAGAGATAGGCGTATCCAGAATAGCTTCCCTGATTGCTACTAATGATAAAACAGAGGCTATAAACAAATTTACAGTCCGCTGTTTGTAATGTAGGGTGGCATTTGGCTATAAAGGGAATGTGAGAAAGAGGAAGGTGACAAGACAGTCGGGAGCAATCTTGGAGTGAATGTGCCAACACAGAGGGCATGTGGGTGCCAAACATACTCAGGTATTTTACCCAGTAGCTGCTCCCCCACAAAAGTCTGCTCATGTCCCCCCTCCCCCCTTTTCAATAAATAAATAAAAGCTGCTTGGGCTTTATTTTCCTTACCATTGCTGAAACAGATCCCACTTTTAACTTTGCCAAATTTGCTATATATTTAGAGAGAAATTTACAATATAAGTAGATGAACCTGACTGTTTCTGAATGACTACAAGGAAAGGTAATATTTGATCCTCCCTCTACTTATATTTTTAAATGGTAGCTCGGTCTCAGTTACTGTATTCATTCATTCATTCATTCATTCATTCATGTCACTTTCATTCTGACTTTAAGTATGCCATGTACCTAAGTATACCTGGTGACTGATGTAAATCAAACATGTAAAGAAATGAATAGAATGCCTATGTGCCAAACAATTGGTTTTTGGCTTTGCTTAGTTTTTGTAATGTACGTACAATGTATTACAGTAACATTCCAAAAACAATACACACAAGACTTCATGAGCACACAGAGACTAGGTTCAGACAGCATGATAACCTATGCTTAGGGGTTAAGTATGGGTTGTCATGGAACTGCAAGTTGTTGAAACAGGAGTTATCATGTAGACTGAACCCAACTGATAATAATGTATGGTGAACAAACTACAGCTCATAACCCACCAACAAATCTTGGACTTACTTCATGGGTTGCCTGTAATTAACAAGTCATGGCTTGTTGGCCCAACTGGGCTCATACAGCACAGTAACCCAGATTTCAATAACAACCCACACTTAATTCAAACTCAACCCTTGCATGGGGGCTATTGTATTGCCTGTATCAGGCAGTGGTCTTAGTCTCCCTGTTTGGAGCTGATGAGGACTGAACATGAGACCCCCTGCATGGAAACCAAGGTCCTCCTCCAAAAGAAAAATCCTCTCTTCTGCAATTCTACATGCCTACTTGTGAACTGAATGCAGGACTCCTGATAGCTGAAGCAAGAATCACATCCCTAGGAGGCAACCTAGTACCCTCTAGATGTTTGGGGATACAACTTCCATCAGCTTCAACCACGATGGACAGTGGTCAGCAATTATGGGAGTTGTGGCCCAAAACATCTGGCATGCACCATATTGTATAGCTCTGCTCTAAACAAACATTTCCAAGCAGCAAATTGGAACAGCTTGGTGATTATTGCTGCAGTGCTTAGAACAGGTGTGGGGAACACATCATCCTTCAGATTATTTGGACAATGCATGCCATCTCCCTGATCATTAGCCCTATTGGCTGGGGATGATAGGGATCCTCCAGGATCCGGAGGACGGTGGTAGGTTGCCTACTCCTTGCTTAAAACAATTCATTTTAACTGATCTGGTCCTAAGAACTATTTTGAATTCTGCTGATTTCTGTAGAAAAAAATCTTGCCTGTCTTTGAATTGAGTGAGACCTGCAGCCTGATTGCATGGACATTTGCTCAGAAGTTAAATCCCACTGAATTCCATGGAGTTTCCCCCAAGAAAATGCACATATGGTTTCAGCCTCGGGGGGGGGGGGGTGGCTTTAGCTGCATTGCACTTTGCACAGTTTGTTTGCTCCTCTCTCCAGATCCTGGAAAGACGTCACAGTCTCCTTTCCTTCAAAGAAGGGAGAGTTTGGGGCTTTTATATAACACCTTTGTGAGAATGTGGCTGTTTGCAGGTTTTCATGCAACACCAATTCAAATTTAATTCAGTGCAGGAAACTTGTTTAAATATATAGTAGGGAAGAAGGCTGGGGAAAATACTCCCACAAACAAGGAACTGCAGAATGGATTGATTCACCTCCACACACACACACACACACACACACACACACACACACACCATGGTCAGCACGGCATCCTCAGTCTTGTGGTGATTAAAGGACTGGGGAAATCACACCACAGACACTTTCAGATGAAGGTTCCCCGAGCCCTTATTCACCCTCTATGTGCTGGGGGTGGGGTGCCAGAAAGCTAGGGGGATACTTTTGAAGACAAATTTTAATACTTTTAAAAATATTTTAGTTAAAAATTAGAGTGAGCAAAACAATTAAGGTGCCAGCCTCTTCCTTATCTCACTCTTGGCTACAGGCCCAGCAAGCTGCAAAGATCAGAGGCCACTGGGCTGCTGCTCTCTCTTGCTCCTTAATGGATATTCTGCACAGAAAGAAAGAAAGAAAGAAAGAAAGAAAGAAAGAAAGAAAGAAAGAAAGAAGGAAAGAAAATGGATAGACCATAAAGAAACACAGCTAGAAGATGACATGGTCTTCACCCTCCATGACCTTCCATAAATGGAGTGGAGTGAATGGAGTACCACAGAGACCTCACAGGGAAGCATCCCACACATCCACCTTAGCCTCTCTTTCTTCCTGTCCTGTCCTCTCCCTTCCTCACCTGTGGACTCGAAGCAGGCTACTTCTTCTGCCATTGCCATTTAACTGGGTAGAAGCTCTGGTCTGTGCTTTCCAAGGTAAGCCTCTCCTCTGATCTCCTTTTAACTTCAAAGCCTGCTAGAGTCAAAGGGTTTAAATAAAAACTGACCTTCATTTGGAGGTGGGCTGCAGAGGAACCAGCAGTTGTCCTTCACACTGCATAATGTGAATTCTGGGAATAAGTCCATTGACACGTCTAACATTAGTGAGCCACTGGCCCTGTTTCTTGCCTCTGTTATTTTATGCTGCTGAGGTTAACTGACACCCAACCAGCAGTTGCGTTGTTCATGCAACTGCTGGTTGGGTCTCATTGGAGGGAAGGAGGAAACCAAAGAATTAAAAAATGTGCTCGGGAGTGGGAGTACTGCTGATCCAAGGGTCTCAGTCTTTCAAAGCAGTTGTTGCTGGTGATGGGAAAAGAACTTTCTGTGGCCATAGAAACCCCAGACACCACACAAAAGCTAGAGGGGTGCTTTCCGGGTAAATGGGAGAAACAAGATGAGCGGTGACTATGGATTCAGTTGTTCCAATCCACTCCATGTAGAACATAAATTTAGTTTCGTCCCATGCGTCGTCACTCTGCATCATTTTTAGTACACTTCATGGTGTGTGTGGGGGTACTCCACAAAGACAAAGAATAGCATCACAAGTATGGAGAGCTCATTACTGCAGTGTTTTGATCCTGTCTAATGTTGCCATGGATCTTCTCAGTCATCACAGGAATGTCTGCTTCTTTGCATTTTTAGTTCAGTTTATGTGTGCTGTTATATTATGGTAGAGAGGACTTCATAGGAAATGAACCATTTTAAACACACATGCACATGGCTCATTTGGATATTTTATTTTATTTTGTTTTGTTGATGAATATAAGTGACTGTAATGGACACTTCAAGGGCAAATACTTTCTGACAAAGAGCAAAATGCTTTAGGCTGTTTTTGTGGAAGTGTTTGATTATAGTATTTGGGCACAATCCAGACAAAGTGAACCATTTTTAGAACTCATTTATATAAATAGGAGAACTAAGGATATGTTTAAGTCCATTGAATTCATTTGGATTTTACATAAGGTGAGTCTTCCACATTGCCAAAAAAAAAAAAAAAAAAGGAGAAAAAAAGGGAAAGAAAATTGCTGTATCACCATAAATAGGACAAAAGAAGCTATCACTTGGTATAATATTTGCCTATACTACACTATATCCATTTAGAAATATTATTTATAGTTTAAATAACTATTTAAAAGAATCTCAGCATAGTGGAGGAGGCTGACCAGGTGACTTGTGTGTCTGTTGGGCAATTTCAAGGCCCCTCTCTCGTCTCCCTCCTTGTCATTCCTTCATTTTAGGCCAGATTTGGATTAGATGTCTCTTCAAATGGAGGACTTCCCTCAGTGAGCTCTCCAAAATGAGGGATTGCCATTAAAGGAGGACACCTGGCCACTCTGCTGTGGCTACTATGGGTTCTGATGGAGTGCAGCTGTGCTGTTTTGCCTCAGTCTGCAACACACCTTGTGGCATGCCTTTCTAGCAAGAAAATACTGTTCAATGCAGCTAAAATGCTATCTTTTCAAATGTAGTTAAAATAATTTGTATTGATTCATCATAGGGTTTTCAAAGAAAGAAGATTCAGGAGTGGTTTGCCATTCCTGCCTCCTGCACAGCACTCACCAGAGTTAGCTCGAACATCACTGCCGTTGTCTGTGAAAGGCCCTCCATCCAGGTCAGCTTCAGCTCCTGCTGCTGCCCATAACTGTCCATCAGGAGTTTCTCTGCCCCCATCACCATTAGAGGTAGCCATTCACTTCCACTGATGTGCCTATGGCTCCTGCAGAGTGTGAATTAATCGTAGTCTGGTGTTTCCGCTTGGACCAAGCTGTCTGGGGTGACCCTGCTGGGCCTAGTGAGACAATCTGGCCTCCTGGCAGCACCGGTGTTGGCTTTTCTGACACTCTCACCCCCACCCCAAATTAAGGTGTGCATCTGGGGGGAAGCGTAATTTGGATTATTTCATTATTGGGTTTCCAACTGGGACCTAGATCAAATCATGGCAGAGCTTTGTCTGAAAGCAACAACTGAGACTGTCACACTTTTGCCACATCACAAGAAGGCAAAACTCCTTGGAGAACACAGTTGCGCTAGAGGCAGGCAGAAGAAGAAATACGAGGTGGATTGCCTGCATAAAGAAAGCCACAGCCCGGAATTTGTAAAAGCTGAACAGGTTTGGCATAGGAGAGCTTTCATTCTGGAGGGCTTTCATTCATAGCATCACCAAAGGTCAGAGCCGATAACACATAATAACAGCAGTTAAAATAATAAAACAAATATATAAAAGGCACATATAAACACACAGAGAAAATATAAAATAAAATCAGCACTGAACCCAACAGACTATTTTACAAGCCAAAGGCCTGCTTGAGCAAAAACATCTTTGCTTGTCACAGATCGCAAAGAGGGACCCAACCCAGCTTCTCTTGGCAGTGTTGCACCAAAAATGTAGCCTTGAAATACATCTAGCTAGCCATTGCCTCTAGGAGCTGAGACATGTACACACCCCCCGGAATGTTCTTATCACTAAGTCTTAGAAGGTGCATACCAGAGCCATATTAGGAAAGCAGCGCTGTTTCAGAAAAGGATTAGGTGGAAGAAGTGGATGCGGTAGACTGTGTAACTTGCTGATTGGCTATTTAGATTGTACACCCCTAAGGGACAGGAGAGTATAACTGCGATCGCATAGGGAGGGTGTGGATCTGCTTTGTGGCATAAGCCAGAGCTTCCACCCACGCTGCAGCTTGCTTTTAGAAAAATCCCTTGGACCAAAGAGCTGTTGGTGTCTGCCTTTTTGGGTTTCCCCTGAGAGGACTGGGATTGGGGATCAAGTCCTCTCAGGCAATGACCAAGTGAGCGAATAGAAACATGGAAACATAGAAGTCATAGAAACCATCTAGTCTGACCCCTGGCTCCAGCTGGCTCTGCTCACATCATGCCTACCATGTGCATGTCTAGCCTATCTTTGAACGCCCTCACCAATGCGGCCTCAACCTCCTCCCATGGAAGCCCATTCCATACTCTCAGTATCCTACCAGTCAGGAAGTACTTCCTGGCATCTAAATTGAACCTTAGTTCCCTGAGTAGCGCGTCCTGTCCTCCTCTGCAGGGGAGAACAGGTCTCTACCCACCTCTGTGTGACACCCCCTCACATAGCTGTATGTTGACAAGAGATCCCCCCTGAGTCTCCTCTTCTTCAGAGGGAAAACACCCAGTTCCCCCAGTCTCGCCTCATACAGATTTCCCTGCAAACTGGCCACCAACCTTGTGGCCCTGTGCTTCACTGACTCTAACCTGGCTATATAATTCCTGTAACGAGGGACCAAAACTGAACATAATACTCCAGTTGCAGGCGCACCAGAGTCATATAGAGTGGTAGTAATACCTCTCTTGATCTAGAAGCCACACTTCTGGCTATGCAACCAAGGGTGGCGTTTGCCCTCTTGACCACTGCATCACACTGCTGACTCATGTTTGGCCTGCAGTCAACCAGTACCCCAAGGTCCCTTTCATAAGTGCTGCTCTCCAGGCACTTGTCACCTAACCTGTACTTATGAGAGCTATTCCTGTGCCCCAAGTGCAAGACCTTGCACTTACCCACATTGAACGCCATCCTGTTGTCTCCTGCCCACTTCCATAGTACCTGCTCCTCAGCTGTGACTGGGTGAAAGTCACCCAGTGAGCTTCATCTCAGTGGGGACTAGAACCTGGATCGCCTGAGCCCCAGTCCAACCCTGACTCTAGGTGAGTGGCTATTTGGCCTAGCAGCTAATGAGGTAGAGGGATGCATCACTGCCCTAGCACACATTCAGGCTGCCCGGGTGGACGGGGCCAAAGACGCATCCAGCAGCCACGCCCGTGCACGGCACGTGCTGTGCCCCCTCCTTCTACTGCCGCTGCATGGCAGGCATTGTGAAGAGCAGGCACTCCCCTCCACATTCTGTCGCGGCCCAGCAGGCACTGTGATTCTGCCCAGGGGGCCATCATGGCAGCCAGCGACTTTAAGAGTTCACACAAGTAGGCCATACTCACGTGGCCTCAGCCAGGCCTTTCCCTTTTTCGCTCTTTTGTGGGGATGAAATAACGGGTGTATATATAACTGTGCCCACAGCCAAGGCAAAATCACACTGATATCAGATGGACACCGACTGGGAAAAGAAAACTGACCTTTGATTGTCTCGCTTCCTTTGGTTTTGTGTGTCATCTAGCATGCATTTTCAAGAAAGCAATATAAAAAGAGTGTAAAAGGATGTGGGGCCATTATTCAATGTCATTATCATCTGCAGAGAGGGCAGGCTAATTTGAAACATGTGGCACATTAATAAATTATTCCTTTTAAGTATATTAAATTCCTTATGGTAGAAGATACAGGATACGACTAGATTTAAATAGACAAAAGCATAGGAACAATAAATCGGAACAGATTGCTCAGAGTATTCCGATATCATAATAAACTGCCACTTCAGTTAGTAATTTCTATTCAGTTCATTAGTTCTTAATGAATGCTCCTGTAATGTAAAGAGTAAACAACAGTTGCTCGGCTTTGTTGCTTAATTAAGCAGAACAAAACTTTCTGCAATGGGGAACCTCAGGAGAGGAAGGTATTGTGCTTGCATGCAAGGCACTGCCAACGATAATATGAAAAAATGCCTTGGCCTTGCCAAGATTGCTTCTCTGTGGAGCTGAGGCTTCTGCGAGTTCAACGAAGCATTTTCTGCACATGTGGGGTCTTCTCCGCTTTCCCTCAGCCCAGCTTGAAAAAGATATTTTTATTATAATGTGCCCTCTAGATGTTTGGGACGACACACAAATGCGTACAATCCCACTGGGCTTGCTGGGAGCCACTGCTGGGAAGTGCTCTCCAAACCAGCCTGAGGGCACCAGGCTGCCTGGCCCTGCACGCAGAAACACACAGCCCTGCGCAGGTGTCATGCTTAGCAACACAACACCTCTGTGTGGAACAGGAAGGTTTGCAGGGGAACTGTCAGAATGTCCCACTGAATGTTGCCACGGTCCTCTTTGTGAATAGAAAAACTGATCATATTCCGTGTTCTTTGCCAGGGGGAAACTGAAACCATTTACAGTCAAACACAATTACAGTCTCCCTTTAGATATTCTTACTCCAAGTGGAAAGACCAAATGCAGAGGTGGGGTTCAAGGTGGATGCTGTCCCCATAACCCTTCAACCCCTTAATGGCTGCAGTTGATAAACAACTGAACAGGGCTAGGGTCGAACTCATCATTGAACAATCCAATGGTTGGGTTCACAATAACCCATACTCGCCAAGCATGTATTGGGTATGGGTTGTTGTTAAAACTTAGATTATCATGTTGCCCCAACCAGTTGTGCTAACAAGTCATGGTTTGTTAACTACAAACAATCCATGAAGAGAGCCCATGAGTTTTTGCATTGTAAACTGTGGGTTGCTCACCATGGTTTGTCATCTCAGCTGGGTTCAGACAACACAGCAACCCACACCTCAACAACAAACCACTGTTCAAGGACAACCTGCAGTCATTCCTTGAGTGGGGGTTCTTATACTGTCTGAACTCAGTGAATGAGATTAAACATGCATAGCACTACATTCAAAATCATTTGAAGCAGGGGTGTAGAAGCACAAGCCCAGGGCCCAAGTCTGCCCCACCTGAATCTTGATGCAGTTCCTTGTTCCCCTGGTCATGTCCCTTTTTCATAATCACTCACCAATCATTTGCTGAATTCCTGGCTTTTGTGACGTTTTCCCCCATTCTAAGAAATCAGAATGTCTCTTCTTTGACTTGGTTGCTTGTAGTAAGAGCTTTAACCAACAATATGCTGGATGATGATGATGATTTTTGCATTTCTAAGTCCACTCTGTTTGCTGTTGTTCACTGCTGGAGTATCTCCCTCATGAACTTCTCCAGAATGGAATCCAACCCTTGGGTTGAAAGAACTTCTGATGTAATGGGCTTATGTATTTGTATATATCCAGATGTAAATGTATGTGGCTGGAAGTAGGAATGTGCTGTGTGAGGAATCCATTTTGTGCAGAAAATCCACCAGTTTCCCTGGTTTTGGCTTCCTGCACACCAGTCCACTTTGCAGCAGCCCACAGTCTGAGTCCAGTGTGTGTGAGTGTGTTCAGCATTTATGTGATGTTCACCAGAAACTGAACCCCATGGGCTGCACAAGACACGCCATTCTTCCGTGTCTGCTACTGCCACTGGCAGCAGTGAGAAGCAAGGAAGAAGCTGGCGGCTGGTGCCCCGTTTGCAGCTCCCCTCTTCTGCATCCTGCAGCTGCTTCTGCTGGGGAGGGTTGCCCGTTGTGCAACTGGGGTCTGCAAGCTTTTGCCAACCTCCTCTTGACTCAGCTTGCTTGGCAGGACCAGTCTGTGGATTCTGGAGGGTCAGGTTCCAAAAGTATCCTTACCCTAGAGGGGAACACACTGTGGGGCAGAACTTCCTAATCCAGAGGGGTCCCCAAAACCAGAGCTTTTGCTCCTCCTCCTCTTTGCTGTTGCTGCCTGCTCATCTAGACCTTTGAAGCAGCAGAATGAAGGAGAAAATGTACCAGCATCCATGTATCTTCCCCTTTTACTTCAGAGTTACACAACAGTTTGGCCTCCAAAAGCCACTCACAATGTTGCCTGGAGGGTTGGGGGCGGTACACATGAGTGCATGCACACATGTACAAACAGAAGTGCATGCATGTACACACGTGCCTTATTTGAATCCTTATCGCCTTTTTGTTGCTGTTAGCAGCAGCGGTAGGAGGTCAAAAATAATTTCAGTGAAGAGTGAGTGGAGAGTATAAGTGGTGAGAAAACAGGTGGGGTGAGGACACTTTCCAGGGGCCACAATAAGGCCTTGGAGGCCGCAGGTTGCGCAACCCTGTTCTAGACAGGAGCATGGGTTGGGTAGAGGGGGACAGGCCAATCCAATTAGCAGCAAGGAGGAGCATGGGAAGAATGTATTAGTGCTTCTCTAGGAGTGGAGCCCAGGAGGGATCTGGCCAAAGGGATCCCTTAAGTAACTTCTCCATCAAGAAGCTACTGAAGTTATCAGAAGAGGTGCTCCTGGTGGTTCTGCATGGTACCGAAAGTTATTTGGACTCTGTCAGTGTGGTGGCTCCCTCTTTGTGGAACTTCCTAACTGAAGGTACCAATGTTTTGTTTTCAGGACCTGCTAAAGACATTTCTATTTAACCTAGACTTCCCTGACTGACCAGCCATGGTTTTGTTGTCATAAATACTTTACCTCTCCTCTCCTCTCCTCTCCTCTCTTCTCCTCTCCTCTCCTCTCCATTGTTCACTACTCAAGAATCTGGCTACACACAAAGTAGCATACACATCTGTAATTACATATATACATACATGGGCTCTAGGGTTTCCCCAAAACTGGGCCCCATGGCTACTCTTATATGTCTGATTAAATGTTATCCAAAGAGTCATGGAAGGGATGTGACTTGGAGCTGCAGGTTTTTCAAGGAGCCTCTTGCCAACCACCATGTGGTGATCTGACCACAGAGTTGCTCTACCACATGTTCTCTCTGGGCACAGAAATCCTTTTTATGCAGAGGAACATTCAGTCATGTGGGCACCCAGTATAGCTCAGACCCGGGTCCACCAAGCAGAAGGCCACCCACTGACCAGAGATACAGAAAGTTGCCTGCAGGGCCAGGAATCTCTGCTGCATCTGTGTTCTGAGTTCTGCAACTGAACCAATCCATTGGCCTCCAGCCTGATCAGAGAGACTAACTGGAGGGCAACAAATCCAGAACAGTATTATCATGCAGAGATGCAACAGGCAGACTCCTTTGGGGACTGTTGAGTACTGTGTACACATGAGTGTCCTACCAGCATTCAATTAATTAAGTATCATTTTCTTGCTAGACATTAGCAGTTCTCTTGCAGAAGACTAATGTCTCTCTCCCCTCCCCCCACACACACACAGTTTGTGAATTTCTGCAGTGCTCCATGTGCT